AATTACTAATGACCTCCTTATTGCATCAGACAAAGGACTTGTCTCTGTACTGGTTTTATTAGATCTTAGTGCTGCACCATTGACCATCAGATCCTATTGCAGAGACTGGAACATTTCATTGGCATTAAAGGAACCGCTCTAAGCTGGTTTAAGTCCTATTTATCAGATCGATTTTAGTTTGTACATGTTAACGATGAGTCCTCCATGCATGCCAAAGTTAGTCATGGAGTTCCTCAAGGATCTGTCCTCGGACCAATCCTCTTTACTTTATATATGCTTCCTTTAGGCAATATTATCAGGAAATATTATATATATATATATTATTGTTCTAGGGCCCAAGCACCTCCGTGATGCATTATCTAAAGATATAGTTTCCCTGGATGGCATCGCCCTGGCCTCCAGCACCACTGTGAGGAATCTTGGAGTTATCTTTGATCAGGACATGTCGTTTAAGTCTCACATTAAGCAAATTTCAAGGACCGCCTTTTTTCACCTACGTAATATTGCAAAAATCAGGAACATCCTGTCTAAAAATGATGCAGAAAAACTAGTCCATGCATTTGTTACTTCTAGGCTGGATTACTGCAATTCTTTATTATCAGGCTGCTCGAAAAAGTCCGTTAAGACTCTTCAGCTGATCCAGAATGCTGCAGCACGTGTTCTGACAGGAACCAGGAAGAGAGATCATATTTCTCCTGTCTTAGCTTCTTTGCATTGGCTTCCAGTAAAATCCAGAATAGAATTTAAAATCATTCTTCTTACCTACAAAGCTCTTAATGGTCAGGCACCATCTTATCTTAAAGAGCTCATAGTACCTTACTACCCCACCAGAGCACTGCGCTCCCAGAATGCGGGGTTACTTGTGGTTCCTAGAGTCTCCAAAAGTAGACTAGGAGCCAGAGCCTTCAGCTATCAAGCTCCTCTCCTGTGGAACCAGGTTCCAGTTTGGGTTCAGGAGGCAGACACCATCTCCACATTTAAGAGTAGGCTTAAAACTTTCCTCTTTGATAAAGCTTATAGTTAGGGCTGGCTCAGGTGAGTCCTGAACCATCCCTTAGTTATGCTGCTATAGGCCTAGACTGCCGGGGGATTTCCTATGATGCACTGAGCTCCTCTCTCCCTCTGTATGCAACCTCATCCCATTATTGCATGTTACTAACACAACTTCTCCCCTTTCTGGTAGTCTTGTGCTTTCTCGTCCCTCTCCTCTCTCCTCCTATCACTTCCTGCAGGTTTTCTGGCTCTGGAGCTGTGGAGTCTGGATCTGTGGCTGCGGGTCACCTGCTGCCCCCGTGTTCCTGCTCGACACCCTCTGCTGCAACGACTATTGTTACTAGTCCTATTGTTATTATTGTTATTATAATCATAAAAATTACGATTATTATCATTAACACTACTATAAATATCTGTACCATTTTTCATTCATCACCTTTACTGTCTGTACCTCTGTGTGTGTATATTGTGTAGGCTGCCTCCCTCCCCTCTCTCTCTCCTTCCATCCCTCTCTTTTTCTCTCTGTTCCTCTCCTGCCCTCTCTCTCACTCTCTCTCTCTCTCTCTCTCTCACCCCAACCGGTCGAGGCAGATGGCCGCCCACCCTGAGCCATGGTTCTGCTCGAGGTTTCTGCCTCTTAAAAGGAAGTTTTTCCTTGCCTCTGTCGCCTAGTGCTGCTCTTGGTAGGAACTGTTGGGCTTCTGTAAATAGCATCACAGAGTACGGTCTAGACCTGCTCTTTTATGAAAAGCGCTGTGAGATAACTGTTGTTGTGATTTGGCGCTATATAAATAAAATTGAATTGAATTGAAAATTGAATAGATGTAATAGCTGCTGAGATGTTTTTTATTTACTTTGATATGTTAGTCCAGATAAGCCAACCCTCCAAGATGTAACAAAATGCATGATTACATTACAGTAAAATGTATTACAGGAGTATGCCACATCATGTAGCACTTCCTTTCTTGGTGTTGCTGTTGTTTGATGAACAATTAACAATAATATTCACAATAACATCTGGCTTTACTAATAATTTAGTAAATATAATTTCCTAATATATCTATCTAAAGAAACCTAATTTCTTGACTGGCAACTCTGCAGTCTCAGAGATTACACCTTTTGTCCTGTGTCGGGGCACTGTAGCTATCCTACACGCTTGGAAAGGGGAGGGGCTGTGAGTGAAGAGTTTATTGCAATCCCTTGCAATTTGAAACCCTCACCACTAGAAGTCACTAAAACTTACACACTTAACCTTTAAATGGTGAAATTGCTAGGACAATGTATCAGTGGAGGGCAAGCATCCCTTGCACTCATGCTTGGGCACTGCTGTCAGGTTCCTTGGTACACATATAAGTGAAGACTTCTCTTGGACTACCAACCCCACCGCAGCAGTCAAGAAGGCACAGCAGAGACTTTACTTCCTCCTGGTCGGCAGGAAAAACAACCTAAAGGAGAAACTGCTGCTGTCCTTCTACTGCTGCTCCATCGAGAGTGTACTGTATCCCTGGGTGGCATGCCAGCTGCTCAGCATCGTACAAGAGAGCCCTTCAGAGGGTCATAATACTACACAGAAGGTCACTGGCTGCTCACTACTCGCACTCTTTGGAGGACTTATTCAGCTCTTGCTGCCTCAGTAGAGCAGCCAACATACTAAAAGATCCATCCCACCCTGGACATCATCTGTTTGACCTGCTGCCATCTGGTAGACGCTTCAGGTCAATCAAATCACCAACAAACAGACTTACGAACAGCTTCTACCCCAGTCATACAAGAACTGGACAATGACTGTTTGGGTACTGTGTGACTATCAGCACTATAATACCTGCAGTTACATTCATGGAACGGGACACTGCAACTGGGTCATTTACACACTTTACATTTTTTATTGTATATTTAGAACCTTGATTTCTTTTCAGCTCAAACTTTTTATTAGGGGTAGGGAAAATATATTAGATGCATCAAGACACGGACTTTGAATATTCTCAAAAATCGATTTTCTTAATGGTAACTGCTAACGTAATGTTGACGGAACACAAAAGGCAGAACTCAGAAGTGCGGAAGGGCAGCAACCGCAGAGGCTGTGGTCTGCACATAACAGAGACCAGTGTTCCCCTATATTCAATCAACACCACCGCTGCTGATTGAATGAGTGCCACTGAAAAAAAAAATCACACCATCATCAATATTAATGCACAACTCATGCAAGCACAGTAACACTGAACGCTTGGATAGCAAAGGACATGTACGAGACAGGTGCTGTTATCAGAGCAGTGTAAGTTAGGTCTTTTAAGGAACAGTGTGTAATGTGTGTGTAGCGAGTGTGTGGTGAGCAAAACAGACAGAGCGAGTGGCAGAAAATGATGGTGAAAGCTTGTGGAGCAGAGGAAAGGATGGTGACCACAGAGGGGCTGAGGTTAGGAATGCAAACTAATCCTTTTAAGCTAATGAGGAAATGTTTCTTTTGGATTTTAATGTGCAAATCAAATTCTTGGTAGTTATCCAGAAATCCTGTATGGAAAAAATATGCATCAAGATGCATCAAGCAGCGTTCTAAAACTGCATCATAGTTCTCTGAATTGTAATCAAATTATAAGGTGCCTGGATTCCCACCCCTACTTATTTTATACTTTGTTGTCATCATTTGTTTTATTTGTTATGCGGGAATGCACCATCGGGACTGCACTCAATTTCGTTGTAATCTGAATCTGTTGTACTGTTCACAAACTGCTAAGCTAGGCTCTGGTGTGACCACATCCACCACACCTCGACACTCAACCACCACTGTTTCATTGAAACTGTAATTAATTAATTTAGTTTTTATTCACGGATAGAAATTGGAATACATTTAATAATAGTAGTTTGTTTTCAGAGGCTATGTATTCATTTTTAATCTTGCTTTTGTAGTGAAAAAAGGTAGTCTGTTTTTGTTGTTGTCTTTCTTTACCAAACTCTACCGGGATTCTTTACTGAGCTCTACTGTTTCTCATAAATGAGTTAATGTTTGAGTGTGTGATTGTCAATGTATCTGTGCGTAATGGTGTGAGTGACAAAATAACATTACACCGATTTGCTAATCAAAAAAACTTGATAGAGATCTCCCTACATGTTAGTTCCAATTTCTGTGAACTTCATGCAGGTCCCAATGCTCCATGAGCCACTCAATGTACAACACGTAAGAACATAGAACTAGCCATCATTAGCTAATGCTAAGATACACACACTCATGTATCACAATTGCAGCCTGCTCATTGTTTCCACTAAACAGCAAATGTAAAGAAACTCCACACACCACCTGCATTCCTGCCAAGTTACCAGAATATGTAATGAATTGGCACAAATGATGGTGGTTGGTGTTGCCATGGATACTGAATGGTATCCATAGCAACAACCATCATCAGGTCCGCTAGCTAAGTAGGTGGCTGTGAACACGGAAGTAGGGCACTTCGGAGCTATCGTTACAATTGTTTTAATCTATGTTACTAATGCAGATCCTTGGTAGTCATTTTTGACATCAAAAGCAAGTTAAAAGGAGCAATCCAATATTTCACAGAACTGCAGTTTGACACACGAGGGCCTAATCAATAATGTAATCACGTTGCATTATGACTATGGGTATCCATGGCTTTTCAAATTTGACTTATATTAGGTATCAAAGTCTCAAAGTATTTCAGACACTGCTGCACAATTTTTGACCATTTTCTAAATATCTCTCTCTTCCCAACTTTATAGAAGTATAAGTGCCCTTTATTAGTTTCACATACTGCACTGAAACTTTTTTGTATTGAAATTATATTGATGCATTTATATAAATATTTATATAAATTATTGAATATATATAATAAAAGTTACAGTTAAAGTGACCTTTCTAATACAACATAAACTTGTGAAAGCAATGCCATTTTGCAGCCAGAATGTCAGAGCTCCTAAAGAGCACATACAGCTTCCCACCCATTCTCAACCTGTGGTAAACCCTGTAGTGTGCTTCCATCTGTGCGGTTGTACAATACCTGTGTGTATGTAAGCAGGCGGACTCTGGCACAGATACTGTGGAGGGTAGCGGATCCTCTTGCTGTGTTTGTGGATTCTGTAGTCCTTCTCGCTGCGAGAGCGCCGACTCCCAGAGACCGCTGGTGGCAACGGGCACTCTACTAGGTCAGAGCTGGGCCAAGCCCGCCTCAGCGTGCTGCTGCTTGTTTTCTTCATCTTCACCCCGTTGGGTGTCAGAGAGCAGACAGATTGTAAATCTATCTACAACAAGACTGAGTCAAAATAGTTTTTCCACAAGCAAATTTCTAAATATTTGGGGTGAAATGGTTGACCCAAGGCTGCAAGTTGCCAGTAACTCACGTAATTTCCATTCTGGAGCGTTAGTGGTAAAAAATGAATGAAGGAAAATCAAACCACCACCATGTTGTGAAATAAAGAATTCCAGACCCGGGTTGGCCAGACTTTCTCATGGTAATGTCACTGTTGAAATGACAGACAAAAAGTCCACAGAATCTATTCAGGAGAGCATACTGAGCAGCAAGTGTTAGGGGTGTTCCCTTCAACTCTGCATACGCACCTCTCCTTCCTTCTGCTGTCTTCCTTCCTTCTGAGGTCGCACCAAATCCACAATGAAACGACTAGTCATCTGTCAGCTAATGCTTCTGCTGTGATGTCTGAACTCATTTACTCTCTCTCTCACACTCAGACACACACACACTCATAGATCCAACTTGCACAACAAGCTTAGCAGTGATACCCTGGGGTGTATACACCGCTCTGGTGGCTAGCTGTTAGCCTAGCCTGACGCCTTTGCTCGCAGTCAGATTCGTCTGGTCTTTGAGTCGGTCAAAGGGGGTCGCTGGGTAGGGAGAGCGTTAAAAAGACAAGCCTGTCAGATAGACAAAAGCCTGTGCAGCGAAGGTAGGGAAGAAAGGAAAGAGGGAATGAGGGAGGGTGCCTTAATACAAAAGAGAGCGAGAGGAAAGAGACTGCTCAGCCAGCAGAGGGAGGATAGAGAATGACACAATCTCCATGGGAAAAGCAGACACAGTCCTCCCTTCTGCCTCCATCCATCCATGATCATTCCTCCAGGACCCCGTTCACAAACACCAATTGTTGATCCTCTGGGAAAACAGTGTGTGTGTGTGAGAGAGACAGTATACCACGGCTGAGCAAAGGGATGATGAAAGACGCGTAAAAGAGAGAAATCCACAAAAAGCAACATTTAGTAAGGAGAAAGGGTTAATCCAGAGCAGAGCGAGTGCTGCCTCTGCCTCCTTTGTCTTCTCTTTCGTCCGCTCGCCTCTCACTTTCTGCCTGCTGCTTGCCTGTCTGCACCCTCTGTCGCTCACAGTGTTGTTGAGGGAGAGGGAGGAATCGGGTCAGTCAACGCCTCAAACCCCCACCCCCTCCCAGCTGTATGCTGCTTAGTGAGCCCGTTTGTGTTTCTGAAAGAAACTGTTAGGGGAATTGTTAAGCCTTGTGTGTGTGCATGCGTCTTTGTGTTCAGTTCAAGTTTAGTTGGATAGAAGCTAAGTCTACAAATAAGCCAATCAGCACAGGGCTCTAAGGTTGAGTATTTAGTCAGCAGCACACGGACCAAATGCTGCAACACACAGGCAATAGACAAGTGTTTATAGTTAGCAACACGCTGTCGCTGGGTGTCAACACCACTAACACACTGCAAAGTGCAGTAAGCTGTCAGCTCAACATCACCAAAAAACAAGCAGCCTTTCTTTAGTAATATTACCTCCATACACACAGCAACATGAGCTCAGCTACAAAAACACATGAACAAATACCTATTTAACAAACAGATGTCAGCCTGTCCATGCTGTAGGTGTGGAGATAACAACAGGAGGTATACAATTTACGATTAATCCATTCATTGTCCAACATTCTGTCCTCATTGGCTCCTGACATGTGCAGTACTAATATCAAATATTGATCGCAATTACGATTTTAGCTTCACCCAATTAAATGAACATGATCGACAGTGATATCGCCGTTTAAAATGCGTGCTCCGTTCATGGAAACCTCTGCTGCATATCAAATCGAGCGCTTCCTAAATCCAAGGGGGGCAACTTGGCTGGGCGCGCACCCTCCTGCTGTTACAGTCCAGAGAAAACAGCAAAGTCTGCTGCGGCGTGGCTGCCAGAGCTGGTCGCGGCCATCCATCCACCCACCCATCGTCAACCGCTTATCCTGCGTACAGGGTCACGGGGGGGCTGGAGCCAATCCCAGCTGACATCGGGCGCAAGGAGGGGTCACACCCTGGACAGGTCACCAGTCCATCGCAGGGCCACACATAGACAAACAACCACTCACGCTCACACCTAAGGACAATTTAGGGTAACCAATCAACCTAGCCTGCATGTCTTTGGATGGTGGGAAGAAGCCGGAGCACCCGGAGAGAACCCACGCAGACACGGGGAGAACATGCAAACTCCACACAGAAAGGCCGGGGTAACCAGGGTTTGAACCTTCTTGCTGTGAGGCGACAGTGCTAACCACCACACCACCGCCCCTGGTCAGTGCGTCCCAGAAGTGTGCCAGATACAGCTCTCGGCTCCGCTCTGCGAAGAATAGACAAGTCTATTTTTGACGGAAGCCGTGTCAAGCTGAGTACATCGAACTGGGCAAACACAGAAGATAGAGAATCCAGTCAATTTTTAAAATAAAACACCCTGTGCATACTCCCGATCATAAATCAACAAAAAACACAGTTAAAACAGACAAAAAAGGACCATTTATCTACATAACCTACTTAATCATAGAAGAAGCACAAAAAGCAAGCACTGATTACCAAATCAACAAAACCTAAACATGTCAGCAAAATCAGGCAGGCCAAACGCTCTGATTCTGAAATGCTCCCTATGGGAGATTCAGCCTTGCAGACAACCGACCGGTCTTATTTTGATGCAAAGATTTGTACATTAGTAGAAATGCAGCACATCATGGATGTAAAAACAGTTGACTGTTTATTTAAATTTTAAAGAGCAATAGGAATATGTTGTCCCTAAATTCAATGAATAATTGTGATAAATAATCGTGATCTCAATATAGATCAAAATAATAGTGATTATAATTTTGGCCATAATCGTGCAGCCCTAATGTGCAGTAGTGACGTTAACCCTATTAGGGCTATACTAATGATTACTTTCATTATTATATCCTTTGTTTAATGAAGGATGAATAGATATAGTTATACATATACACATGTACTTGATTATTATGTAAAGATAGATTCTTATAGAGTATAGCTATAGAGCCTTATAAGTCTCATAGCTTTAAATATGTTTGAATATTAAGAAGCATTCTGTTACGGAACAGGAGGGTGATGCAAAAGACACTTCACACTCCTGAAGGCATGTTGGGACTCAGGATATGCCACACCTGTGAGGTTGATGGATTATCTCATTAAAGGAGAAGTGCTCACTGACACAGATTTTGACAGATTTGTGAACGATATTTGAGAGAAAAAGGCCTTTTGTGTACATAGAGAAAGTCTTAGATCTTTCAGTTCAGCTCATGATGAATGGGGGCAAAAAAGGGTTGCGTTTATAATTTTGTTCAGTGTATATGTTCAACTACAAGAGGGAGAAACAAATCAATAGATAGAACAATAGAACGACAGATGACAGATGAATAGATGATAGATAAACAGATGGATGGATGGATACTTTCCATGTGGAAAATTTGACTTGGGCTCTACAGAGCTATACCCATCCAAATGTATAGACACATAACATCAGCAACATACAAAATAATTTTAGGCCACTGTTTAAAATTCAAACTGATACAGGCACAAAGGAATTCTTAAACCAATTTAATTTACACAGCTGAGCACTGTTTCACCTGCCTGGTGGTAACAGATGTTATGACCTAGTTCGCTATATTAAGGGTAGAAACATAAATGCTGATATATTTACTGAAAGAAAATTTCTTAATAGAAGGAACTTGGACACAAATCAAAAAAGCTACGAAGGAAAAGGGCTAGTGGATGCTGTTCAAATCACACTACTGTCATGGCCAAAAATATGGGCACCCCTGCATGTCACATAATGCACTGCTTCTCCCAGAAAATTGTCACAATTACAAATGCTTTGGTATTCTCATGTTTATCACACCAGAATTTAGGGAACACTAAAATCACACATCAGACCTCAATGAACAAAATAGTTAAAAATCTTTACTGTACATTAGCAAAGTAACAATGGTAAACAGAAACCAAAATCACCAACCAACTGAGGGCTGGATTCAAAATTCCCCCCAAAATAAAAAAAATTAAATCACAGGCTGATCCAACTAGCATGACTTTCATCAGAGTAACTCAATGTGACTGAGTAGTACTCCCGACAACATATGGGCATGCTCCTGATCAGAGGACAGATCAATTTTTGATATTGTGGTTTATGAATTAGGAGGACATTTTCCATTGTTTACTGACCTTCTCCTCCTTGATTCTGCATCTCTGTGGCGCTGATAGGTTGCCATTAAGTAGACCAGTGGTTCACAACCTGGGGTCCGCGCCAGAGATGTCAGGGGGTGCCCAAAGCTATATCTGTTTTGAGGTTGTCAAAAAAACTTTGGTTTGCACATTTTTTTAAAATCGTGATAACACACTAGATAATTTATACAAAAGTCTGTTTACATTTTTTCCTCACTGAAAATAGGCAGACTACTTAGTAGTAGGGCTGTAATGGTTTTGAAACAGAGACCACAATCACAACACAAAAGTCCACAATCTGGTCGCGGATCTGAGAGACAGAACCGCGACATACCCGCTCATTGGACTGTTGAGCTCTCATTAAGACAGTGCAACTGTGGCGGCCGGTGGAGGGTGGGCTCGATAGCGGTGTATATAGTAGGCTATTTGTATTAACAGTAGGTTATTGCATGTCATTGTCCACCTTGAATCTGCTCCTCCGCTCTTCTCCCCACACTCACACACACCTCGCCTGCACCTCTGGTCTCTCACGGAAAACACGCCGCCTTGCTCCGCCTTGCTCCACCTCTTTCTGTCTCTCTCTCCCTGTGTGTGTCTCAGCTGACTTTCTCCATCAGCAGTACGTTTCATAAAGTCGGCGTGTTTAATAAACTCACCCGTGATTGAGTTTTCCAGTGCGCCGCATGTGGATCGAAAATGAAACTTAACGTTAGTGAGTGACATCTGCAGTGGCGCGTTCACTGTCGCTCCCTAATGTAACATTTCCTGCGTGTCTGTTGACGTAATACCAGATGACCTCTCCCTCACCGTTTCTCTGCAAAATGCTTAAGTGGGTTGGCAAATATACTTTGGCAGGTGCAACTATACCTGTCCGGCCCGCCCAAGTAAAGTATATGTTGAAAACACTTAAGTTAGTGCAAGCTGTAGGCCTATATTTTGTAATGTAATAGGCAAAACACCAGGAGACTGTTGGTGAAGCTGGCACTGATTTACACAGAGCCATGGAGGTGTCATTTGACTTCTTGACTTGATTTGTTCGCTATTAGTAAGTAATGCTGTTGGGAGGGCTCAGCTTTTCTTAGATAAAAGTGGGGGGGCGCCAAGGAAAAAAGGCTGGGAACCACTGTTGTAGACCACAGGGAGGGCCTGTGGATGAGCTAGTTGGCGGAGAGCAAACAGTTTTCTGACCGCAACGCTTCACATTAGTAATGTTGTGTGTTGGTCTTTTTTTTCCAGTGTTGGAAAGTCAACCGGAGTATAGATAAATAAATAATTTTTCAGTTAAAATGAACAGACTATCTCTGTGGGTGCTTTTGAAGTGTGTGTGTCGGCGTCTTCCCACCTGACTCCAGGTGGCTCCTTAGAAAATCTTGTCAGCCACTTCATAGTCAAAAAACTGGCTAAAGAACGGCATCTTGTAAAGGACTAACAAGCTGGATTGCTAGGCAAATGCTTATAGAAGCTTGCTGTTTGCTGGATCTTGATGGACGCGATTACGATGAGTCAATCCATTGGTCATGAGTAAACAAAGGAATTAATTGTGCTTGTGTATTAATGAATGGAGACAGGAGTGCCTACATGCCTTTTGAACCACAGGACAGTATTTCCAAAAAGGTCAAAAAAGGTCAACAACATCATCTAAAGCCTCTTCCGCTGCTAAAATAGCAGCTGCCTGGAGGCTCAAGCTGCAGCTTTAAAAGGAAAAACATGCTTTACAGCTGGAGGAAAATGATATTAAAATCAAAGATGGAAAAGGTGGAACTAGAAGCCCATATTGTGGAAGCAGATGCCAAAATTAAAGTACTCCTTAGTCAGGAGGAGACTGAGCCAGAGGAGGAGGACAATGTGTATCGGGAGGCTGAGCCCCATTAAGCCACATGGGAGCCATGAGGACACTATGAATATCTATCATGAGGAAGCAAGCAAGGCAGAAGTGGGTCCTTCGTTGCCTGAAATTTCTGCTTTGGAATTTATTGAAGTGGCTGCTATACCTAAGACTCCACTCCAGAGAGCAGGTGGACATCAATCAGCAGATATCTAGTTCCAAACACAGAACCAAAGATCCTGAAACCAGCAATGTGTTTAATGAAAACTTAAGTGCAGTGGTGCAAAGACAAAATGACATCGCAGAGCTTATGATCAGACAGCAGAATCTTTCCCTCCTGCCTAAAAGAGAAGTACCAATGTTTAATGGTGACTAGACTTGCGCGATCTTCTCTGTTTTCATATTGTCTAATCATGGATCACTGATTGGCGATCTGATTGCCAGGGAGTGGTGTTATGTAGCAGCATGCCTGTGAAATGCCAGCATGGTAGAAATAGGCTTATTAGCTTTAAGAGAAACCACCAGAAACATCCGTAAATGCACAG